GGAAGACCATGTAAGGATTATTGAAATTAAACATTTGAATTGTTTTTGCGTCAAAATATTATTTTTTCTTGTTACATTAAATGCTTAGAAATAGCAATGATAAGGAACGGATTAGTACGTCTTTTTTCTTTGATAACATTGCATATCTTTTCCGTGTAGAATTGATAAGTTTTTAGTGGTAAAATGTTTAGCACCTCCGATAGACTTGTTCATTCTTGATAATAGCTAATTTCTTTGAGTACGTAATGTATTTATTTAACTCTATTTACCCATTCTTTAAATAGATTTACTTTTTCTCTTAGTTTTGTTTGTTTCGGAATTTTTCACGCAAAGCAACACAAGGTCTTCTCTGCGGTTGTCGTCTTTATTATGGAACTGATCGACTAGAGGGGAGGCAACTTGTTTACACCACCAACTCTTTGGCTTGACTGTCGTTCTTGTAATGCACCCCAGCGCCTTAAAGACGAAAGTGCGATTTTATGACAGCAAGACGTCATGCATTGTTCTTAGCTCGGATTCACAGTATGGAATGTTAATCACTAGGTAGCGCTGAGTCACCACGTAAGAAAGGATTGCTTTAATCGATAATCCATTAATCTAGCAACATATGAAATTTAGTGCAGCGATATTCACTAACATGGAACGTAAGTTGTGTGAGAAATTTTCAATCAGTTTTGTTGAGCCTATAAAAATAACATCGTTTTTACACTACTTTACTATTTTTCGACATTTTGATGCGGCGACGCCATCTAGTGGTATTTATCTATATATGGCATTTCTAAATGATCAACCCATCCACCTATCTATACACAAGTTATTGACTAAAGAAAAAATATTTTACTCATTGTATTTATTACTCTTCACAAATATATTCTAAGCTAAATATTCTCTATATTCGTTTTAGGAATAAACAATTTATTGATATAGTAATAAGGGAAGCGTGACTTGTTCTTATTGGCTGTTTCATTTTTCTCTAAAAAACTTAAATACAAATCCTATGGTAAAAAGGAAGAGAGATTTTGCTGAGAAATGGTATTCCGAAGAACCTTCAGACACAACACCTACAGCAGCCAATTTATTCAACCAATGAGAACTGAGTATGTTTTAGTTACGTCATATAATAGTGCACGCAGGTAGCAGCCGACCATATTTCCAGTGTCAGGTACATCTGGATCCATTGGTCTACTGTGACTGGAGACTCATTCTGGTTTGGTGAATCGTTTTAGAATTCCAGAAAAACCTTTTTTTTTCAAAGTATTTGACGCCAAAAACTCGAAAATAGAAAACAGTGATAATACTAGTAATTTGAACTAGAAGTTTAGTTAGTGTAATTTTTCCGAATAGTTCAGTGAGTTGGTCGTTGTCGGCGGTGTCTGCCTCCGCGCGCGCGCTGGTCCGCGTATAGTGCGTGATAAGCTCAACCCAAGCCAGGTGTAGTGGCATTGGGGAATTTCAGGACCCTGCGGCGACGTTTAAAAGAAGCCACGTTCGGCTTCTTTCTTAAAGCCATTGAACTGACCCTGTTCGACTACAGTCTTCTACTCTAAACACAGACTAACATGAGACTGGCATTCGGAATTCATTTGGAGTTTTGTCTAGTTACAACAATGAACATTTTAAGATTATGCTGTGTTTAGTGTGACTTTGAATAAAGCAACACGTAACAAAATAAAAAAAATGTCTGTTCCGAATAAACCGTTTTCTCCTTCTAATGTGAAACGGAAACTTAAGTTCTGGAATAAAAAATCAGTATCAATAACTGACTACGACCCTACGTATAAAGTAATTTATCTCGGGAACGTCTTGACACTGTGGGCAAAGGGGGAGAACTGTGTTGACAAGCCGCTGTCTACTTTGTGGAAAAATTACTGTTCCAATGTTAAACACGAAATAAATATGAAAGTTACGGTATGTCACTCTGGTATCAAGGCAGTGACGAAAGAACACGGACTTACAGAGTATTGGGCTAACAGAATAACGTTCTGCACTCATAATCCCCAGTATCCACGTGTATTTTGTTGGGTGTATCGACACGAAGGCCGGCGTATGAAGCAAGAACTTCGGTGCCACGCAGTTCTGTGCGTAAAAGAAGAGAAGGCCCAAACAATGGCAATTCAACTAAATCAAAAACTTTCAGCAGCACTTCAAGAATTTCGAAGGGAAAAAATCATCCGACAGAAGGCACGATTGTCATTAGCAAATTGTACTGATGAGCACCCAAGTCTTCCACGGCGGAAGGAGCTGCTGATTACCGGAACAGTAAATTTTAGACCTCCAATGGAAAGTTCTAGGAGTGCCCCCAAGTTAACATCCATTGATGAGATTGAAGAGGAACTGGAAGAGGATGGAGATGACTTCGAAGACTTGATGAATGGCTCGCTAGTTTCAGAACAAGAATCAACTTCTGATATTGTACCAGATGATATAGATTCGCTTTCGGACCAGTATCTGGTCACGGGCAGAGAGAGCGATTCTTTTGATTCGGACTCAGTAGAGGAAGTTCCAAATCCTTGTCCTCTCAAACCGCTCAACTCAATAGATGAGGAAACTGACAATATATCTGATGAGTCTGGCTACTCAGAAGAGAAGGAATACGTTTCAAGAATGTAGTGTATAATGTTTTCAGACTTTAGCATGTATCTCAGGAAGAACTGTTCTTTCCAAAGCCATTGAAATCAAGACGTAAATAGTACAAAAATCTGGTGAATTGATGCCTCTACTTTTGATTTGAGAAATACTTTATTAATTCCAGTGTTTTTTGTTGGTCTTAATGTTGTAAGTATGTATGATATTCATAGTTTTAGCAACAAATATTTCTGACAGTTTCCCTTATTCAAGCTTTAATGTTTCTTGTTGTAAGCCTAAAGTATTTACGTGAAAAAGTAAGGTTTAAATCTCATAAAGTAATTTATTCTATTTTCACTTATTATTCCCTGGGGGAATTATGAGATTTGCACAATGGAGATATTAAACTGACTTAGGGTTTAGGATTTAGGAAAATCGAACTCTCTATCATTTGGTTTGTTTAGAACAATATAAAACAGTCATCGTAAACCCCACGTCTAGTACAGGATGTCTATATTATTTGGAATATATTGTGTCTGCTTGTATATTTAAATGTTCCATTTGTGAGATTTTTTCATTTTTGTAATTTATTTCTTGCGTGATTAATTGAAACGTAATATTAAAGACATAATTCCTATATCCTTGAAATAATCCGCATATATATTCCTCAAACATAATATTACAAATATTATATAATATTTCACTTGTATCATAACAAAGATTAACAGATCAGGATTCATTACGAAACAAATACCATCCCTAGTTGATCGTTATTTGGGTCCACTTAAGCATAAGAAAATAAATAAGTTTTTGAATATAAGACGGCCAGTGTTCGTTATAGTGTCTTCCAATTATTTGTTTGCATTAGATCTGGTTGTAAAGCTTACAGAAAGAGAGCAGGTTTTGAAAACAAGTAGGTGTCTAACACCCATTATATTTTGATTATTTTGAATAAAGAAAAGACGTGTTGTTTGTTAAGTCACAACCAACTACTAAGTGCCAGGATCACACAAAAAATTTAACTTTCATACCGAAAGTGTAGCAACTACCGTGCCAAATGTGTATATAATAAAAATGACAGATGCAAAGACAGAAACAAACTTCATTTTCTTAGAAAAAAAGATATAGATCCCGGTAAAAATTATAATTTTCTTTTATTTTCCTTGTGTTGTTTATGCCACGTTTATGACAGAGAGATAGAACTTGTTACTTTCTATTCAGTAGCATGCAGCGTTATTGTTTCATTTTAGTTCAAGTGTACTTACAAAAATAATGATAATAATTACTAGTGTACTCTTCATGGTTATATGTTCACATATAATCAGTGTAATGCATAATATACGGTTACACTTTCCCAAGAAAAACAGCAACAACTTGTTTGGTGACTTTCATTGCCTATTGTTTTCTTTTCAGAGGTAATAAGAAAGCTCGTGAAAGTCATACTCATGAATTGCACAAAATACCGTATACAGTACTTGAAAAATATTTTTTGTGTATTAAAATGACTTCTTATTGTAAGTTTCAATTGATTTAACATATTTTAAGTGCACCAAGCACAGATATACGTTGTCAATGTCCTGAGTGGTTTGGGTTTTCTTATGTTGAATATTCTGTTAACAAGTGCAGTTCCTTGGTATGTGAGGAAGTAACTCTACTTAAAACATTTATATTCAGACATGGTTCAAAACCTAATTATGAATCAGAAGTAGTATATTTTATTTGTTTATTGTTCATGGAGGACATAAATTTAAAGAAGTTGTGAAATGTGTTTCTAGTGCTTACATTTGATTCAAAAACTATTATTATGATTTATATTTTCTCATAATATCCTCTGTCAATTACTGTATTTTTTACTAACTTAGAGTTATTCTGTAAATGTGAATTATTCTCTGCCTATGTTACACGTTAGAAGCTCAACTGCATTAAGGTTATTAATAGAAGCTATAGATTGTAAAAGCGTACTTTTTTGTTTTGTGATACAACTTGAAAACAAAACATAATAAAAATACGTTTTAGCTACCTACATAACAGTGTGCATTAGAAATACAGGTGGCTTCAGAATATCTGGCATGGCTAATTCCTTAATATTCTTGAGCGTGTTTGAGTTATGCACTCTAATAACAATGAGCACAATTCGAGTGTGATTTCAATATTAACCAACAATGTAATTACAACCATAAATGTAAAAAAATAGCGCAAATATTGCAACAAATACACAGTAATGATATGAATTTAAAAGTTATTGGAGCGTATCTCTTTTTAACAACACTTTGTACACCTTGAATTGAGATCTCACACACTTTGCTTTCAGAGTATAAGAGATCTAGCTCTTTCAGGTATCACTGGCCACGTGACTTCGATTTATTTTAAATAGCCACTAGCCATGTGAAACACTACAATAAGTATGACCATCGAAACTCAACATTGCATCATTACGAAAGTTTGAACATTTATTTAGAAACAGCAAAATCGGATTGAAAGAAAATTTAGAGCACAGTTAAAAACACCACGTTTCGAAAATACTGTTCAGCCTCATCAGGCTAGAAAATAAGGAAATAACACCAAGAGAATTTATAGTTAGAAAATACATCACACCATTAACGATTACTTATCTTAGATGTTTATTTAAACACAATGAGACAAAGTTAATCAATAATGCTTCTTTGTCTTCTAATTATTTTTTTCTTCTTTTTTATTTCTAAACATGCATTACTTTTTATACAATTTCCTGGTGAATATTGATATATCTAAAAAAAGGGAAAAACTTGAAGAAGCTCGGTTATGCTCTTGAAAACATTTCTCTAATACTATGCTGATCACGCCAACGTTAAAAATACTTGCTATATTTTATTTATATTGAACCAAAAATTCGTTATAATATTTAATAATTTTGGGAAAACAGTAAGCAACATATCTAGTTTGAACTGTTGAAGGCTATTATTTAATTATTGGAAATTATAATTGATTTAATCATATTTTATAACATGACATACTCAAAGAAAAAGAAATTTTCTGAGAAATAAAAAATAACTCAATCAGTGAGGCCGTTATGCAATTCTTTTCCCTGTTACTTTTGAAAACGTTGGTTTTAAAATCAGGGTCTAATTTAGTAATAATATAAAATTAAACAATATCAAGTAGATTTTCTTCAAGCATGTTCCTTTCTCCTTTAAGCTTAAGGCTATATAATGGGCTAATTGCACTGTGCTTACCAATGGGATCAATTAGATTAGATTACCAATTAGATGAATTCTTCAAATAATCGATTCCATTCGAAAGCTTCTCTCCTTAGTGGTATCATAACCAGCAGAGTTATGACTCGATGGTATGCCTTTAAACGTATCTACAAATTGTGAGTAAATGAGAAAATTATAGAACACGATGTCGCTTTCTTTTTATAGATTCATTTTCGAAAGAAATTGTTTTAAGCTAAAACAGGCTGAGCTTAACGTATGAACAAAAATATCTATTTCTAGAACTTTGTTGGTTGTGAAAAACTTGATAATTTAGTCTTGATATAGCTATATAGGGAATTTTGAAATTCAGATGTTTATCAAGTTATTGTCATTTATATTTAAAACATCTTTAGTAGTATTGTGACGTATTTGTTGGATTGATAAATGCGCACACTTTTTACCAGGTTCCATCATGACATATAGTAGTCCACAAACAGTTATTGTTTATCAGGTTGTTGTGTCATGATATAAACCAGTAGTCCGCATATTGTTGTTGTGCTTGTTAGGTTTCATCATTACAGTAGTTCGCGTGCCGTACAACATGCTATGCTTTTCAAATTGTATTTTACTTTTAATATTAGGTATTTCATCTTAAAGCGAATAAAATTATTCAATATTTTTTTAGCCACTCTTTTCTTCCAAAGAAGATGCGAGAGATTTTAACTCTAATGTATTAACTAAAGATTACAATTTAATAATATGTGCACTTGGAATAAGACACAGGTACTGAAAGATCTGTTCTATGTTTGCTATCTTTTTTGTACAGATTTCTTTCATTCTTCTACGATACCGGTTGGCACGAATTGATTGATGTATTGAGCAAATATTCGGTGAAATGTCACATGTTTGTTTTTGTTTGTTTGTTTACAAAACATAATAAAGGATATATATCTTACTTTCACAGTAGAAAAGTTAAAATTTTGTGAGAACTTATTTTCACAGTAGAAAAGTTAAAATTTTGTGAGAACTTACTTTCACAGTAGAAAAGTTAAAATTTTGTGAGAACTTACTTTCACAGTAGAAAAGTTAAAATTTTGTGAGAACCTTTGCCTTGCTTGTTTTATTTGTTGAGACTGGAGTACTTGCAATTAATAAGCATCTCTATTCTGTAAAGTAACTAGTGTCATATATATATATCGTTCTACTATATAGTTTATCTGTAAACACAACCTCTTGATTTCCTAATATGGTCGTTTTTGCTGGGTCATTTCCATTAATTCTACGAAATATTATTACACAATATTTCATCTCTGCAACATTTATCCATATTTCTTTTATTATATGTAACGATAACGTTTTTAAACTGTCTAAAGTATACTATACAAATTAACTTGGTAATGTTCCGTCAATATAACGTTACTCTTTCTTCTTTCCACCTGTTTATTATCTTAAGAAGAGATTAAGCATTTGTTATAAGATTTAATATTTGCACAGTGGCTTTACATAATATTATAAGTAGGAAAAAAATAATTTTAACAGAAAGTATGGATCGTTGGTTATTTGTAGACTTCCTATAAGAAGTATCTAAAACAAAATAAACGCTGAAATAAAAAAGTACACAAACAACTAAAGTGATAGTAATTTTATAGATTTTAAAACGTAGGGATCGACAAGGATTCCTAATAACTCACGCGCCGCATACCACCATATCGAATTCCTAAGTGAAAAACCGGCCATTCAAAGTATTGGTTTCGATATATTATGTCCGTATATACTAATAATACACTAAAAAAGTCGCTAATATTTCCAGTATAACAATTCAAAAATTTCTAAAACAGCAACTTTTTCGTCTACTACCTACCTACCTACCTGATCACGTCAGTGGGGCTAGCGCCTAGACAGCTACAAGATTTTTCCAGCTTACTTGACTGGTCTGTGGGTATCCGATTTTGATATTGTGATTAAAATCCACATATATACAGGTATAATATAAATCGTAAACACATCATGCACGTACTTAAATATATTTTCAACCCAATGGATGGACTCTACATAGCGATGGACAGACACGCGACAGTGTATAAAGGTAAAGTATATACTTTATACAGGTATAACATAAAAAGTAAACAAACAAGAGTATTAAAAATTATATAAGTGTATAAAGCTGCCAAAGTAGGGATTATAATTTTTTAAATTTGTGATTGTAGTTTTAATTCTTGTTTCATTACTTTTTATAACAGGATACCTCTTCATTTTATAATTCATAATGTTTTGATACTCTTGTGCAATTTACCCTGCCAAAAAACAACGGTTTTACTACATGACTATTATTGTAATTCACTTAACAATTAAAAGATATTCTGTTAATTAGTCATATTGTCTGGTTTATGCATATAAACATACATGAACTGAAAAACATTCTGTAATACTTAAACAGAAAAACACCATTGTATACGCCTAATTAACCTCACAATTATTATACGGAGCGTACATATCAAAATTCTATAGTTTCTTTTCTTAATTTTTATTTACAGCACAAATTGTTTTGTAGTGCGTGTTGGTCCTGAATAACATTTCTTACCGTATTTAAAATTGAACTACACATCTTAACAAAGTTGCGTCGTAACTAATATTCATATTCATTGTTTTATAAAACTTTGTCAGATCTTCATCGATAGCTTTTAACTACAAACAGACATAGTTATAAAGTAGTCTATTTTTCCTTTGATTAGAATGTTCCGGGGATAACTCGAGTATGAACGAAGTTCTAATATACTATGCAAAATAAATAATCGAGTTATTGAGTTCTAATCAGGTTTTTATGTAAATAAAATCATGTAATGGATTAAAAACATATCTTGTAATAATCCGTATAAAAAGGTGTTGTTGATGAGATAAACTATGTCAGTCTGTGATTTACCTTATGATCACAGAAAGAGGTTGTGTAGGTAATATGAGCTGTTTTAGCGTGTATTTTACTTTGAAGCAGTACATAAAGGCTGCATGAGTGAAATAAGCTGTATAAGTCTGCGCTTTACTTTGTGATGACATTAAAAGCTGATGTTGGTGAAATAAACTGCGTTAGTGTGCGTTTTACTTTATTACGACATTAAAAAGTGGTATAGAAGAAATACGCTGTGTTAGTGCGTGTTTTATGATAATATAAAAAGGTGGTGTAATGAACTAGGCTGTGTGAGTGTTTTATTTTATTATGACATAAAAGATGGTATTCTTAAAATAGAGTGATTTTCTTTATGATGACATAAAAAGCTAGTGTTGGTGAAAAAAGGCTGTGTTAGTGTGCGTTTTACTTTACGATGACATAAAAAGTGTGTGGTGAATTAGTCTGCGTTAATGTGTGCTTTATGATGACATACAAATGGTAGTGTTATGAACTAGGTTGTGTTAGTATGTTTTTTTTAAATTTACGACGCCAAAAAAGCGTGGTGTAGGTGAAATAGGCTGTGCTAGCTGTTCTTTTTGAAAGTTAAGTGTTGAGGAGAGAATATCTCGTATTTTTTTTTTGTGCAACAGTAAAGTACAGAAAAAATGTATATGCATGGGCATTAAGAAGGTACAGCTTATAAACTCATGCACATGCAGGTATCAATTGGGAAAAATCCGAGCAGAAAAGAAACAAAAATCCCCAATACATTAGCGTTACCCTGAAACTAGGATTGAACTAAAAATCCATAGTACACCAGCGTTACCCTGAAACTAAGATTTAACTAAAAATACGCAGTGCATTAGCGTCATCCCGAAACTCAGATTGTACTAAGGAATGTTCTATTTGATCAAAATTCACTGCACAAAACAAATAAGGGATAAATGTAATTTTTATTAGTTTAGCTAAGTTGAAATAATATCATTCACCCCTCAGTTTGTTGTCATAGAAATCAGGCATCATATAATTCCTTATTAAACTAAAATGCAAACGATTGATCATTCAGCCTATGCTCTTCATTTAGTAGAAGTGACTTAACGACTTTACACTTTATTACATTTTACTTCAACATATAGTTTGGTAAATAAATACAAGCACTGATGTTACATGATACATATCATAACCCAAGGTGTATTCTAACACTACTCTGAAAGATCTTTTTCCAGGATAACTTTAGTATCTGAGGTCATTTTACAGGAAGCTATGCATTTTTCCAAATCATCCCATTTCATATATATATATATATATATATATATATATATATA